AGTTTGTGAAGGATGTTCTGCAGGGGAAAGGTGGTCTATACATCTATCGAGTGACATTAGAAGTAATCCGAGCAACGACTACGAGAGCTAAGGCCAGCTTTACTAAATAAGGGTAGTGAGTTTCTGCTCTAGTTAAAATTTTACTAACGTAATAAATAATAGATTCCGTTTCGTCCTCACGGGCTAAAACTCCACTTACCGCTACTTCCGAGACTGCAAGATAGACCAACAGTGTTTCACTTTCCTTCGGTTTAGAAAGTAACGGAGGGCTTGACAAATACCTTTACAAATCTCTCAAAGCTTGCTGGCATTCCAGGGCCCATTCGAAATTGTTTTTCTTCTTGAGCAGCGCGAAGAAACGATGGAATTTTTTTGATGACCGGGAAAAAACCTACTTAAAATGGCTAATCTCCCTGGAAGCCTTTGAACTTCTTTCACACTTGACAGCTGGTCCGGGATGTCCTCGTTGGCTTTGATCGTATCGGAATTTACCTCAATCCCCCTTTGTGATACTAGGAATCCTAAAACATTGTTGGAGCTGACTCCGAACGCGCACTTCTCGGGGTTAAGATTCATGTTATTCTTTCTTAGGATGTCAAAAGTTTCTTGCAAATACTTAAGATGATCACCTGTTTTCAAAGACTTAACGATCATATCGTCTATATAAACTTCCATAATTTTTCCTATCTATTTTTTAAACATCTTGTTTATGAGCCAGTAGTAAGTGGCTCCGGCGTTCTTCAGCCCGAAGGGCATCATATTATAGCAATGTGTGTTGAAATTCATTATGAATGAAGCCTTTTCCTGATCCTCCGGGTTCATTTTAATTTGGTTGTACCCGCAATAAGTATCGAGGAAACTCATTAACTCGTGCTCGGCCGTCGCATCAATCATTTGATAGATGTTTGGCGAAAAGGAAGAATGTTGTTATAGAATCCGCTATTTTAGGAATAGAATAAGCTTTGTGTAGCGAATACCATGTCAAGGCTCCCCTCGTGATAGTCTCTTCAAACTTCTTCAGCATAACAGATTCAATCTTGTGGGGAGCTAAATCATTCCCCTTCACCGCCATTGTATAGGTGGTAATATGCTCCTGAGGGTCTGAAGTTCCATCATACTTCGGCAAGTCGGGCATTTTAAACCGCTTCGGGATTAATTCTGGTGCCGCTTTGTTTATATGGTAACCGAGTATACTTCTTTGAGTCCGGTCCCTTTAGCACCGGTGGTGCGCCCGGGATTTGGTCCATGTGGGTGTTCACTTTCCTCATAAACCGTAAGAGTTCGCTCTTGAAGGGATTGTTCTCGCTGTTGGGGCCGGATCAACTCCCCCCAGCCCCATCGGATCCAACCTCGAGCATCAGAAAGAACTGGACCTCGTCTATTCGTGTTATTGGAAGCCACCTATAATACATGTTTCAACTCCATCATAACCTTATCCTGCCGTGTGAGGTGGCCTAGAATGATCGTTTGTTACTCTTGTAGGACCCCTACCGCATCAACAACATGCTCCTCTTCAGCATCATCGGGAGTCGCCTCCCGAACATGTCGTGGGTACCGCCTGTCGTGAATCGACAAGGCATCGTTCCCCTCATTGTGGGTGTCACTGACTGAATACTCGTGATGAGGCTGGTCTCCTTGAGCCTCGAGATTGTGCGTTTTGTTAACACCATTATCTGCCATTTTTTGTGATTTTTTTCTAAGACAAATAATCAAAACATGTTAGTAAAAGAAGCAAGGATCAATTTAATTACACGACTGTTTAGGCCCTACGATGGGCGCCAAACTGTTTACCCGTAAAACGGTACAGTTAAATTTATATGCGGTTTCTAGACAAGTGAATTAATTTGATCTAAAAATAATAAAATAATGGAAGAAATACGCAATACTTAGCCTTGAAGTGAAGATAAAATCGCAGAAATAGTAATTCCGGGAGCAGAGCTTCCGGGCACAACAACAATGAAATTGAGGAATAAGAAGATAAAATTATAAAGCTTTGAATCGGTTATACAGTAAGTTTTCCAGAAAAGTCCTGTCATTTATAATAATAAGAGAGCTCACTATTTATAGATGCACCTAGGGAACAAGGTTCTAGGATCATGCCCTTCTTTAATGTCAATTATGAGGGCCATTGAAGAAGGTGTAACGGTGAGTATAAATGACAAATTCTCTATAACGGGTAGTGTACTAAATGCTGTAGAATAGTCTCCACTAGATACTATCGGACGGAGGGTATTTATTACATCTTTACGAATGTTATTTTTTCCGGTGACAAACGGGACAATTGTCTTCGGTTTTAACTATCCTCAGTCTTAGGTTCCACGTGTCTCTCTCTTAAGCGGCCACTTAACAAAGCATATTTTACCCTATACATATACTAGTAAAATTATAAAATTATATTTTGTCACATTAAAGTAATTAAACTTTACGCACTATAACAGTAAAGTCATCAAAAACTACCCACAATATCTGCTCTGAATTCAATATAATTACCGAGAGAGCACTATATCCAGAGGAACACTTGCAGAATGCAGGTTTGCCAAAAGACTATGGAAGAGGCAAATGCAATGGGTGAAAATGTGCAATGTAGGTATGATGAAAGGAAATAATTGGCACCGGCAGTAACAATAATGGTTACTGAAAAATGCAAAGCAAAGTCTAAACATGTGCAACTATTTAGGATGATATATGCTGAAAAGATGTACTTTGTTATATGGGGTGAAAGAAATGGTAGAATCTTTGACAGAAATGAGGAGAGCATAGCAGGGGAAATTACCTGTGTGTGTAATGTGAGAGCACCAATTTCGATCAAGAGTTTACTGCTTGGGTTTAAAAGACTAGCTTCCAGTGTATGAGATAGGAGATTAAGAAGAAACCCACCCTATCAATTATCATGAGCTGTGCATCTTAATTACATTAGGTAAAAAAGCAACTTATTTTGTTTGTAGGATAGTTTTATTTTCAGAGCAGTTGGATGAGTTGTAGCTAAGGTGCGTTTTGTAAATAGTAAATACTAATTTGATGATTAATAAAAATACTTAATTACAAAAAAGTTACTATTCATTATGACAATAAAATCATTTTAATGGTTCAATAATTTTAACTCTACTATAGTTGTTAAAGATAGGTTCACAAGAAGGTATAAGAATTCGAGTGTACTGCATAGTTGGAACATTTTGCACCATTCTTAGTCCTAAAAATCCAAAAGAAAAGTGAATAAGATCGATTTCATGCCTAAAGGCTATAGTTGAGATACAATGTCTTTTAACAATCATGTCGTTTCCTCACCAGAAGGAAAAAAAGGGTCCTATATCTATCTTTTATTTGCTTCACGGTTTCTGAATATTCATCCCAATCTATATTAAGATAAGAAAAATTCCCACTCTTCCTAGTATCGAACTCTTTGCTGGGTGAAGAGTTAAGTTACAATATAGTTGCAACTTTATCCTATATCATTTTGGTGCAACGTTCCAATTACATTAGAAGTTCACTCTTACCTTATAATATTCCAAGAAGAGAAATTTTTTAAGCATGTGATAATTTTTTTTGTTTAATTGCATGACCAATTCATTTAAACTTTATGCTTTTATAGAACNATATATATATAAATTTCCAATACACATAAAATGAAATATCATACATTTAGGTAGAAGGTAAATTAATTAAAGTTCTAATTATATTTATGAGTAATTTTTTAATACATTTCCTAGAGAGGAATAGAAAGGAGTAAAGCATTTAATAAGAGATGTATTTTGAAAGGTAAAGTAAGAGGGTAATATTATATCATTCAGTTTCTGAAGGATATTTTAATAAAATAATTTCAATTAAAAGTTTTCACACTTATAATATAATATAAATATAAATAATATATGATATATGATGATTTATTGTTTTATAGGTTGAATATGTTTTTAATGGATGATAATAAAATTTGAATCTTAGACCTCGTAGGTGCTCTAATATAGCGTTAAAGACTTAAATTGAATGAATCTTCTCGTATCAGCTTGAATTAAACTGTAAAAGATTAAGATATATCTTTTGTAAAGAAATTTGAGGCAAATGTCCCCTTTTTAGTTTTTATATCACTATTTAGAGTTTGTTCAAATTTAAACAATTGTACAAAGATAACTCTTAGAAATTATCCTTTCGGATAATTTAGACTTAGATTTATATTTGCTTATATAATTTTCAGTTTGTTCACAAGATATTATGGTCTAACATTTATAATAACTTACAATATTTTTTTATTATACTAATATTTCTCATAAGATTTTCAGTTTGCTAAAAAAGATCTTTAGACCATAGTTTAAAATGGCCTTTAATTACAAGAGAAATAAAAAAGGTCATTTGCTAAACAATTAATACAAAAAGGAATAAACCGATAGTTCATGAAATTTGAAGGAAAAATTATGCTTGATGAATCTTTTTCAAAACCATCATTTATATTTTGACCACGAAGCACCAAAAAATCACCATCCACCAGGATTTGAGTGTTACAGTGTTGACCGCCGGAGCTACGTTTGATTCCATCACTGATGGTCTATAGTGTTCATCCAACGAAGAGGTTTCAGATATATTAAAGGTTGGGTTGATTAAATGATGGACATGCTTAATATCTCTTATGTTATTGGGCCAAGTTTTCAACAACAATACATTTTGGGCCTACAATAATGTGTATATCTGGACAAGGAAGAGATATGAAGATAAGAGCAATTTAGTACAGAATATTCTAGAATCACATTTAGGATAATAACGTTTATATTAGTTTTGTCTCATTGTTGTCCTATCGTACAGAGTCTCTTAAAAGTCTTTGTCTTTTTATTCCTTCCTTTGTATAAATATAGGCATATACACAATGTAATACAACAGAGAGACATACAATATCAAAACAATTCTGAGAATTCTTCTTTGTTTTCACGGTATCGGAGCAGGTGCTCTAAATTTCAGATCTTCTTTTGAGTCCTCTATTTTTTTTTCTTTTTCTCTGTTCATTCTTCCCTGGAATGGCTGTCAATCAAGACACACCTTCTTCAACTAGTGGAACCTCAACTGAAAATGTCACCAATCTTGTTGATGGAACTACCACAATCATGACCACAAATCTAGTTGATGGAGGCCATCCTTATTTCCTCAATTCTTCTGATTCACCTGGAATGAATCTCATTAATGTTAGTTTTGATGGTACCAGCTATGAAAACTAGAGAAGGGGAGTTCTAATCTCTCTTTCAGCCAAGAACAAGTTAGGCTTTATTAATGGAACATGTCAAAAACCAGATGAAAGCTCACCTCTATTTGAGCAGTGGAGAAGATGCAATGACATGGTCATTGATTGGTTGTTGAATTCCTTGAGCAAAGACATAGTTGAGAGTGTGATTTACTCTCAGACTATTGAAGAACTTTGGAGTGAGTTGGAAAAAAGGTATGAACAGGCTGATGGTGCAAAGTTGTTCCAACTACAAAGGGAACTCAACAATATCTCACAAGGAACCAATGATGTTGCAGCATACTTTACTAGAATAAATAGGATCTGGGATCAAATGAAGGTGCTTAATACTTTCATGACTTGTTGTTGTGAATACAAATGTGGGGCTAAGACTCACAACTACAAGATGAATAAGGATCAGAAGTTGATCCAATTTTTGATGGGACTCAATGAGGGATATTCTAGTGCAAGAGGAAACATCCTTATGATGAAGCCTCTAACTACCACTTCCCAAGCATACTCTATCATTTTACATGAAGAATCTCAGAGGGAAGTGCATTCTGGTAACCAAGTCATCACTGTAAGTACTGAATCCAGTGTTTTCAATGTTAACACACACAAGTGGAATGCACAGAAAAGCAACAATGAGTATAGGGGAGGAAATCAGAACATTAACAATGAAGCAAGGAAAAATAATATATTCTGCTCATACTGTAAGAAGCCAGACACCATAAATAAAAATGATACAAACTTTTTGGGTACCCACAGCCTTTCAAGTTCACTAAACCAAAGAGAAACTATGGAAATACACAAGCAAATGCAGCATCTATTGAGGAAGGTGAAGGATCAGAGGGTGCAGCCATTTCTGGAAGTGTCTTACCAAGTTTAGTGAACTTACAAGGATTCACTAAAGAGTAGTGTAAGCAACTCATACAAATGTTTCAATCTGTACAAGCTGGGGCTCTAATGGTTTAGGTTCAGATGCTAATGCTAGTGCTAATTTTGTGGGTAAATGCTTTGCTTTTCACACATTTATATCCTGTTTTACTAGCCTCTCAAGCTCCAAATTTTGGATCACTGATTCTGGGGCTTCTCAACATATGACACATAATAGAACACTCTTAAAGAATTTTAAAGAACTTACAGTCCTTATTCAGGTTAAATTACCAAATTCTTATAAAGTTAAAGTTACCAGCTTAGGAAGTGTATCCTTGTCACTTGACCTTGAACTACACAATGTGCTTTACATCCCAAGCTTCAGGCATAATCTATTATTTGTTAATCAACTGTGTAAGCAGCCTAACTGTGATGTTATTCTTAACAAGGTTGCATGTCTTGTACATGCCCCTTCTCTGAAGAGGCAAATGTTGCTTGGCGAAGTTTTTACTGGTCTCTATATGCTGGAAGATCTTTTAACTCAGTCTCGATCTGGTCTCAACCTCTTCCGGTCTTAAGTTGCTTACTCCTTTCCCGAGGTACGAAGTCTCTCTTCTGCATTTGACCTGAGACTGGGAGTTGAACTCGCGGCGAACGCGAGCGTTGAGGCTTTCATCGAAACAAAGTGAGAGGCCCAGTTGATGCTTTTTTCTATGTTAGCCAGGTGAAAGCCCCCTTCAAGAACTCCACTAGGATACTAACTTGGTTACCTAGCATTGAATTAGGTAGGACACTCGTCCTATTTTTGCAACTATGATAGAAAGTCATTTGCTTGTTGCCAAACCCTTCTCCTTTCTTTTGAATCAAAATAGGTCGCGACTGTTGTATTTTTGTCGGTCGGGGGAAGCGGTAGCTTCATGCTCCGCTTCTCTTGCGCTTAGGTACGCCGGTACCCCTTTTTTGGTTCAACCAAGGTAGGTTCATCCCCGGGTTCACTCGTGAAAGGAAGGTTGTAACGTCCGTTGAGTTCTTACGCTTTCATGTTGATAATTCAATTCATTTGATTACTACAGGGAAGAACTCAATGGCTATTCAATGTGGTCACGTATGTAATAGAATTCAATGGGAAGACTTTCTATTTGGACCCAAACTGCGATGATAGTGAATGTGCGTAGAAAGAAAGGAATTAAAAAAGAAGAAGGTAGCATTGACATTGAATGAGAATGCTTGAATGGGGCTCGCCTCTGATCAGCATTCCAATACTCCAAAGCACACATCAGATACACATAGTAGTAATTGGCGAATGATAAAGTCTTAAGTCAGTCTTTCTAGAACACCACATCCTAGAATAGCAACATCCTTCTTATTACAGCACAAACCATAAAAAAGGAATTGCCTATATAGAGGAAGTTGGATTTAGAAAAAAAGTGCCTCTTGCGTCCCAAGTAGGGAAATCATACTTCTCTGCTGAGGCATAAGCAATAGCAAACAATCTCTAACTAAAGTAGTTTAAGTGGTCCACTGTCTAACATTTTTCGTATCTTGTTCGTATTCAGTGACCTTCGCTGAGGTTTTTGATCTACCTCCGAAACCTAAATCCAATTTCAGAGCTTTTGTTCTGAGGTTAGCTTGAGACATGAACTCTATGTTATGGCCAAAGCCATTACTTCCAGCAATCTGCATTGAGCCAACAGCTGGAGGGGACAATGACAAATCCTTAATTTCATCTTGTCTAAGATGCTCCATTGTGTCATGAATTGTTCGCAACATATACCGAAAGGGTACTAATTAAGCCTACCATTAATGACTAGTTAAAACACCAGGAGGGGTCTAATCCCCTATTTGATCATACCGCTCTGAGAAAGCAAGGGATTTCCCCTTTTTACTTTTGGTGTATAGGGCTTTTCTTTTTGTTCCCTTTTGTCAAGCAATCGAAAAGAAACCAGAACCAAGTGAAAAAAAGTTTCATAAGCAAATATTATTGTGGAAATCAAGGGAGAGTGCTGTTTTAGAAAAGATACAATAGTTTTCGGGGCATCCTCCGCCGCTATTACAATGGGAATGCATCTGCCCTAATGAAAATGAGAAGCCTTATCTCTTCACTTGCTGCTTTCTTTGCTTCTTCAGGGTATTTGGAAATAGATTTAGAGGTTTAAAAAGTCATATATTTTTATCTTATTTTCCCTCTTCACTAGGTTATAGGGCAAGTTTGATAATGAGTAGGCTTGTTGTGCTTTGGCCCTTATGTGGGCTTTTATCGAGGAAAGCAGGCTTGATAGGGCCAAGTCTTCATTTGTAGGACTTTGATGGTTCATGCCATTCATGTAGGTTTGGGTATTTCATTCGGGCCCTATTGGGGGCTGCTGCAGTACTCAAAGGCGAGGGGCTCCAAAAGCGGATGTGATCGGCCTCAGAGGAGCATCCGTGAAATGGGATGGAGATTTGCCCGAACTTAGTCCAGTCCTATTAAAGCCAACTAGCAGAGCCGATTCAGGGATCAGTGGGATGTCGTAGCTTTAAGAGATAGGGTTATGCCTTTTCCTCATTCTTATTAGGTTCTATCTCCAACAAGCAAAACGAGTTCTCATTCACGGATAACTAAGCTTTGACAAGGGAGAGGGGGACCAAACAAATAGGAGGAAGAAGCAGAGGGAAGATAGGGTCACTTGTTAAAGACACAATTTTCAGCTAGGGTAAAGATTATTAGATCAAACAATGCTTATGTCATGACCCAAAATTTCCCACTGACGTGACCATGATGGCGCCTAATATTTCACTTGCTAGGCAAGCAAACGTTAGAAAAATCGTTAAACAATTCCTTATTTCCATTCAGTAATTAACAATAATTAACTAAGATGAAATATGTTAAGTGTGAAATACAATAAAACTGTATTAATTACTACCACCCGGATCTGGAGTCACAATTCACGAGCATTCTAGAATTTACTACAAGTTATAGTCTGAAAGAAATACAAATATCTGAATGAAAGAAAACAGTAGGACATAAAAGATAGACGGGGACTTCAAGGTCTGTGAATGCCGACAGATCTACCTTGAGTCTCCTGACAGCGGACTAGTAGAAAATCTCGATCAACCTGAGCCGGTATCAAAATCTGCACAGAAAGTGCAGAGTGCAGCATCAGTACAACCGACCCAATGTACTGGTAAGTGTCGAGCCTAACCTCGACGAAGTAGTGACGAGACTAAGACAAGGCACCTACAAATCAACCTGTACAATTTAACAATGTATATGCAATTAACAGAAATGAAGAACTAAATAGGAAATGTCTGGAGGGGAACATACTGAGGGGAATACAAGATAAAGAACTACAACAGAGTGATCACCCGAGCAGTCAATATACCATGAATCAACAGGAATAGTGAATACAGTAAGGAAAAATGCACGGCATCACCCTTCATGCTTTTACTCTCAATCTCACCATAAAATAAATAGAAACGGCATGACATCACCCATCGTGCATTAACTCTCATATCATGGCACGACATCACCCTTCTTGCATTAACACTCACAATATGGCACGGCATCACCCTTCGTGCATTAACACTCATAATATGGTACGGCATCACCCTTCGTGCATTAACACGCTCCCTTACCATAATGCAATGCATAAATATCAACAGGGAGATAGAATAACAAGTACAAATCTTACCTCAACATTTGGTTCCATAACATCAATCTCAATTTTGAAATAAAAACTCAATTATCACCAGAAAATCCGTAAACATGATAAGAACGATAAATTGAACAATACTAGTATAACACATCGCAATTAGGCATAGGAATAAGACAAAATAAGAAAAACTGAGAAATATGGAAAACAGGTAAATTTGGTAGCGCATAAGTACTCGTCACCTCACATATACGCCACTCACATGAATTTCACTTAGCAAGTAATCTAAGGTTCCTAATTCCCTCAAGTCAGGGTTAGACACAACATTTATCTCGCTCCGAAGGCCACTTAATTCTCAATCACGACTTTTCCTTTGAAATTCACCTCCAAACCACTCGTATCTATTCAAAAATGACTCAATAATATCAAATATTGCTAAAGGAATCAATTATATTGCATAACTTAAATTTTCCAAATTTTCCTCCAAAAAGTCGAAAAATCGACCCCGGGCCCGCTTGGTCAAAACCCGAGGTTGGGACCAAAATCCATTTACCCATTCATCCCCGAGCCCGAATATATAATTGGTTTTGGAATCCGACCTCAAATTGAGGTCTAAATCCCCAAATTCCGGAAATCCCTAGTTTCTACCCTAACCCCTAATTCTACCATGAAAACTCTAGATTTTAGGTTGAAAATTCAAGAAATGTAATGGGTAATTTAAAGAAAATGGTTTAGAATCACTTACCAACAATTTGGGGAAGAAATGACTCTTGAAAAATCGCCTCTCACCGTTTGGTTTTTGAGAAAAATGAGTTTTTGGATAAAATCCCGTTTTTGGATTCTGTTAAGTGCTGGGCGACAGTGTTTATCGCGTTCGCGAGAGCACTGTCGCGTTCGCGAAGTGTATGGGCTGCCAAGCCTTCGCGTTCGCGAGACAGTGCTCACGTTGGTGTAGGCTACCCTTCCCTGGTGTTTGCGTTCGTGAGTCATTGTTCGCGTGCGCGATGAAGAAAAGTTGTGTGCCCCTCCCCAGTGCCTAACACTACGCGTTCGCGATGGGCTTTTCGCATTCGCGAAGGGTAACGCCCCCATCGCTTCGCGTTCGCGACGAAGAAATCCTCAGCTGCCCAGTTTACTCTTCGCATTTCCGAGAGTACCTTCGCGAACACGAAGAAGGACATGCCATAATACCTGCTGCAGCAAAATACCAGATTTCCAAAGTCCAAAACATCCCGTGGCCTATCCGAAACTCACCCCAGCCCTCGGGGCTCCAAACCAAACATGCACACAAGTCTAAAAATATCATACGAACTGCTCGCACGATAAAATCGCCAAAATAACACATAAAACTACTAATTTAGCACCAAATCAAATGAAATTCTCAAGAACACTTCAAAATTTCTATTTTCTCAACTAGACGTCCGAATCACGTCAAATCAACTCCGTTTCTCACCAAATTTCTCAGACAGGTCTTAAATATCATAATTAACCTGTTCCGGGCTCCGAAACTAAAATACAGACCTGGTACTAACAATGCCGAACACCAATCAATTCTTAAAAACAAATAAATTTTCAGACTTTTAATTTTGATCAAAAATTCATAACTTGAGATAGGGACCTCCGAATTCGATTCCGGGCATACGCCTAGGTCCCATAATTTGATACGGATCCACCGGGACCGTCAAAACACGGATCCGGACCCGTTTACCAAAAATGTTGACCGAAGTCAACTAAAATTAACTTTTAAGGCAAAATTTTTATTTTCATTAGTTTTCAACATAAAAGCTTTCCGGAAACCTGCCTAGACTGTGCACGCAAATCGATGAGGGTAAAAATGATATTTTTAAGGCTTAAGAGCGCAGATTCGAGTTCTAAAATATAAGATGACCTTTTGGGTCATCACATTCTCCACCTCTAAAACAACCGTTCGTCCTCGAACGGACATA